CTTCATTCGCACGCCGACAACAATGGAAGACGGTCTCCCACTCTGATCGGCGGTCTCCCAAGCTCCCACGACCCAGATGTCAGATTCGGAAGCGAAGAACACATTGTTCTCGAAAGAATACGCCGAGCCCGCTTGAGTCGCGCGAGGCAGCTGGTCGGACCCTGAATACCGTCTGGGTCAGCGGTGCACAAGGTCAGCGGCGTCTCCCACTACGAGACCGATTGTGAGGTCATTGACGATGATCCCGCTGGCCGGGTTGCGCGACCGTAGACTGTTGTGTTGTGGTTTCTTTCGGTTTTTGGAAGACGAGGCCGAGAACAATCGATGCCAACGAGTTTACTTTAGTTACGCGAAGAGACGACTAGAGAGCGAATGTCCCAGAAAGGATGTGCATAAACAGGTCCGCTAGTAATGTTTTCGTTGAGAAAAGTGGGTCAGGCTGCCGTTAGTGCCGTCGTTCGGGAATAACTTCACAAACTATGGAGCGGAAATATTTAGTGCAAGTCTGTATTATGGCATTCCTTGTCTCTTCACTGTTTAACTGGTCTTGACACGAGTTTAAGTTAGGCCAGTTTTCTTCGGGGAAGGTATTCCTTCAGGCACGAAGAACTTTCACCAGCGGCAACATCCGGAATAAAAAAAGAAAAGAAAAAGTATATGCGAAGCTCAGTTAAGTTTAGCGCATGTTGTTCACCGTCTCAGACGCATCAATGACGGAAATCACTGTTGCAGTAGTTGTCGAGACCATAGACGCACTTCATCCAGCTTCTGATAATCCTTCGAGTGTCACTCCAAGAAACGACACATTTCCGCCAACGCACGCATTTCCCACGACATTCTAAAACTCCGCAGTGCCAGGCCACACTCCACATCACACTGGACTCGAGCCCACGTCGATGATCCTTCTCACTGTGGTTACAAGCGGCAAGAGACCGGACCGGAACACCGAACTTCCCACAATCACACGCTAGAAGATGGTTCAGATAGCCGGTGAGACGGACCTGCGCCTCTTGGCCGGCACGCTCGTAGACACCCCACTGCGCGCTGTTCACGGACAGGTAGGGACCCCGGGTATTCGGACGGACCAGGAGGGCAACCGGCTCAGGTACCGACCAGAAGGAGCGAGCCGGAAACCGGAGTTAAAGACGTGTGGCCAAGACGCGGCCTCACGCTGCCCGTCTGTTGCCGGACTGAAATCCTGTTTTCCAGCCCCATCCGGCCGTCTGCTCGTCGCACGGCCGCACGCCCTGCTGAGCGGGGCGACTCTCCCGGGGCGGTTTTCTGGGCGGGCCCGCTCGAGCTCTAATAATACGCTTTGTGCTGCGACGGCTCTTCCTGCTCGAGCAGGCCAACCTCTCTCGCTCCTCGATGGCGCTGCTGCTCCCGCGCTCTAGCAACGACGTCGAAGACAAGGCTTGCGCATGACGTCACTCTTAGTATATCCCCGACCTGCCTGAAGCGGCAAACACGCCGAAGAAACGCCGCGGCAAGCCCGTCCATCTTGGTGCGCCGCGTGCTGGCGTCGCGCTCGCAGTGAGGCACTGCATGACACGCTGGGTGCTGGCGTAAACTAGGTGGCGATGCGTAGATCTACTACTGATGACGTTTCGAAGGGGCCTTGTCTTTTAGGTGGGCTGTAGTCGGACGGGTGGGGGAACACCCCCGGGGGGTTCACGTGACGGTGCCCGCTGCACCTACCTGCCTGCCCTCCTGGCAGCCTGCAGGGACCGTCTCCTGAGCGCTCCTCTGACTGAACTCTCTGGTCGGGGTTACCGTGCGCGGGTTGATCTGACAAGGCCGCTGCTCCAGACAACGACCCCTCTCCGTCCGTGGGCTTCTTCGGGAAGCGTGGTTGCTCGCTCAACGCCGGTCGTCTGAGGGGCCAGCTGCCGGTACCGGGGCTTCCTGGAAACGGGGCTTTGAATTAAAACTAACATCGCACCAAAAGGCAAAGACGAACTGAGAGAGGTGGGGAAAAAGAGTTTTGACTATCAACAAAAAAGCTTTTCCTAAATAACGAACAAACAAAAAACATAGGGGTTTATGCAAAATAAATAAACGCCGAAGGTATCAACTTTTTGGAGACGGGGCGGGGCATTCCTTACCGCTTTTGTTCGGTACCGTATTTTCAAACAATGTACAATTCATAGTCGGTACGCGTTTTATCGACTGATTTTAGAGGGTCGACAGCATTTTCGGAGGCTGCATTACTTTTCATTCAAACATGATGAGCCAATTCTCTCCAATTTCTACTTTTAGAAATTATGCGCGCTGACCCTGAGAAACAGTTAAAAAAGGCCAATCTGGTCGCATCAGTATAGTCAGTGGGCCAAACATTGCTATTTCTTGCCGTTTGTCCAGCCCATGGGAAAGAAAAGACGAAAACCCAGATTTGTTTTAGGAATGTTTATTCATCGAAGCAGGGTGAGATGGAGCGGCCTGAATGGACATTGAAACGTTATAAAGAGCAACGTCTTGACCTGGCATACCCCCGGTTGACTCGCAGGTGCTCCAGCGTACGGATTTTGTGACCTTTCTGCCAGCCGCGCATGCCTCCTTATTCGCTTTTTTTTTTCGTGCAAATAAGGATGGAAGCTTTGTCTTTTAATCGTCACAGATACACGTCTAAACGGAGCATGTATGCCTCTTGCGGATTAGCCTTCTCTCCTGCGCGCGATAATCTCGCCAGGACGATTTCTCAGTGCGACTTCGCTGGGACCCGAAGTGCGGCCATTTGCTTTAGCGGTTTCTCTACTTCTGAGGTTTACAGTCCTTCTGTATGGAACCTCCAACAAGTTCAGCTAAGCCCGACTTCACCGCAGGGCTAAAAAAAAAAAGAAGTTTACGCAAGTTTTTTTTTTCTCTAAATGCGCTGTTTTTTTTTTTTTTTTGGGGGGGGGGGGGGGGGGGGGGTGAACAGAAAAGAACACACGTCTTATACTGGACAATTAAAAGGTAATGATTACGAAGGCTGCAAGTATGTTGCTTGGTTCTCGTCAATATTTCAGCTACGGCGTAATATCTCAAAATTCGTCAAAACAACAGCTGTGTGAAGCGGCCGTAAGGTGGCTCCCTCCTTTTTCCGTTTCGCACACCCTTTTTATACCCTTGAAAATCAAGGGTTGCTACGTGCAACAGTGATATACGCCTTAAATGTCTCATCGTTCAGACTACCTTCATTGTTCTTGAGCGAAAGCACGTCGACGACACGAAAGGTACCAAAACGTTTACGTGACCACTCAGGCGAATTAGAGGCAATGAAATTAAGAAGAATGACAAAGCAAATTAAGGGGAATCAAAGTGAATTAAGAGTAACTAATCAGTGGGAAGAACTATAAAGCGAATTGAGAGGAATCAAAGTGATTTAAGAGGATTGCAAGTAAATTACGAGGAATTAAAATGAATTAAGAAGAATTAAAGAGAAGAGTGTTCAAAGCTTATGAAAAAGGATGGCAAAGCTAATTAAGGGGAATTAAGGTGAATTAAGAGGAATTAAAGTTAATTAAGAGGAGTTAAAGCGAATTAAGTGGATGAGTAAGCGAATTAAGTGGACGACTAAACGAATTAAGGTGATGACTCAGCACATTAAGAAGGATGAGACAGCACACTAAGAGGGTTGTTTGTCTTTAACGCATCTTCGCTTGGGCTTTCGCCTTCAAGTCGTCATAGGGATAACTAGTGCCACTAAATAAGCTACGCTTCAGAGTAACGACATTTGGCCATATTGTGTCTTAAAATCATGGTTGCCAGTTATCTGAAGCTTTACCTGAAATTATAGGAAACGCTTTTCCGCCCTCCACAAATGTTTAAACCGTTCGCGACAGAGCAAAGCAATATTACATGACCTTCCTAACACAGAATCTAATGCTGAGGAAGTCGCACTTTTGAATCATGACGATCGGCCGTTGCGTCTTCTCTGCATACGAGCCAAAATGGCGGCGCCTACAACAATGTCGGGGAACGGAGTGCCGATACTCTAAGCGCAGCTCATTTAGTGGCTCTAGGGATAACATAAGAGACCCTGTGATTCTTTTTTGTCTTTTTTTTGAGTATTATTTTATGTAGGGGCACTGAAAAGGTGTATTAATGGCTGTATATCTTGAAACACCCTTTTTACACCGGTGTAAGATTGTCTAAGATTCGAGACTCCAAATATGTCAGCAGAACACCAAATGTACGGTGTTTTAAATAATTTTAGCTCATGCATAAAACGTTTCAAAATAGTTTTGTTAAAAAAAGAATAGGTCGCATTCACACTACGAAAGCCCACTAGCGCTTCTGTCTTTTTAGTATCTTTAAAGAGTCAGCATTGCTGGATGCAAAAAGTAAGAATCCAAATCACGATATTTTACCTTCTTCCACCTTGTTTTTGGAGTGAAGGAGAAACTAAACATAAAGTGCTCATTTGCTAGCTACGGACATGATGCATACGTGCATGTTTCACCTATGTATATTAAATTATCAACCGCGACTCGATTCTTTAATTAGAAATTAAGTCCCTCCGAATTAAGTTCCTTTGGAATATATGAATCTCGAATGCCTCGTACCCTACCTAAATCATGTCGCGAAACAAGCATAGAACACATGATCGTCGTCCAGCAGGAATAAAACGGCCAACATGCTCAGTAATATAGCCCCACATCTGACATGTCTGAAAATCTATACGCGCACCAACACAATAGTGAGCAGTTGGCCTGGCGCCGCTTGATCTCTTGCTCCTCGAACACGCTTGCGTGACGCAGTGAGGGCGGCTAATAGGGCCAACTGGTGCCTATAGTTTCCACCCCACTGCCAGCTCAGACCCGGACACAGTCAAGTAGGCCGCCAGGTGCATCGGAGGCGTTCCTCTCCAGTGGAAAGCGTTCACCGACTCGGAACAGTCCACCTGGCCAGGCGAAAGAAATGAGAGGCGCTCTCATTTGCGGTTTCAATTCAGGGCTGCGCGCAGAGTTTTACGGTTTGAATTGCGGATTCCCCGGAGCCGTTGTATAGCAACCGCGATGACCATCGACCTGTACATCGGGTGTGTCAGTACGCCGTCTACCTTTGTGTGCATGGTGGCGAAACACATCGGGGTAGACCTGAACATCCAGGTCCTGAACACGTCCAGGAAGGAGCATCTGAAGCCCGAGTTCCTGAAGGTAAACTTGATTTGCGCCGGTTGACGTCGTAAGGACAGCGAGAGAGAGAGAGAGGGATCCCCCCCATTGAGAAGGGTGCTTCCGCTCCCAAGCTCTCCGCGTTTGGCGCCAAAGGCGGAGTACGAAGAGCAAGCAACTGGTTGGGATGGGCTCCAGGCGTACTCTGGTAAAAGTGACCCGTGCTACTTGAGTATTGTCTGTCACCGTTGTTTTATTTATGTGTTGGGAATCAGATAAAGGGAGGAATTTCCTTGTGCACAAACTGGAGGGACACGATGGTGGGTTCTGGAAAGAAAACGGCAAATGAAAAATCGAACTACAAAATGCCACCTTCTTCCCTCCAAAACGCGCTTACCGATACACAACATTACGTTGCCGTTACTTGTATAGGGCGATGTGCCGTAACCAGAGCTTCTACTGCATCGGTGGCTCAATCTATTATTAATTAATTAATTGGTATATAAACACTTATTTGTTGATTTTTTGTGCTCATTAAAAGAATATACCTGGGCAATGATGGACAAACAGTGAGATTACCAACTAATCAGACACAATTTTATTTAAAAAAAAAAAAACTTGAGTTAAAATCGTCATTATTTGCTGCACCGAGGGTGTTTGTTATAGAAGTGTGGTATGCGGGCCATTGGGCTAGTTGCAATTATTTGATTAACAAAAAAAAAAAAAAATGTAGAATAAACTCGCAAAACTTACCTTGGAATCTGAACATGAATAGATGACATGAGATGAGCAAGGCACTGGATTAATTCATGAAGGCATTTATACAAAGATATATAAATCTCACTCGCGTCTTCTAGAACTCAAAGTAGGGCAATTGCATCATTCCAAAAAGTCACCTATATTCATAATGAACTGTACGACCAATATAAACGTCCTAAAAAATTAGAAAAAACGCTTTTGAACGCTCTCTACCATCACGTGGTCCGTACACCAAAAAAACAGTTCCAGACAACAAAGGAAATGATGTTAATGCGATTAATGCAAAGGTGCGGCGAGCTGGAACATTGGTATTTGTCCTTTGTCCCCTTTGTTCCTCATCTCCGGGGATTATTATTGTTATTCTTCTCCAGCTCGCGGTACCTTCGCACTAATTGCATTAACATTATAAGCTTAAAACCAGGCCGTTCACCCTTGTTGGTGTTAGACTGGTGGCAGCTGATAAAAACCCGTTCGCTCTACTGACCTCTAACTCCTGGTTAGCTCAGTTGGTAGCGCGCTCCATTGGAAACGAAGAGGTCCCTGGTTTGATACCAGGACCAGGCGGATTTTTTCAGTCGCGCACCAGTCATCTGACTGTGTTTGGAGATTTGTGTTTGTCCTTTGTCCCCCCCTTGTTCCTTCTCTCCAGGGTTCTTCTTCTTCTTATTGTTTACAGATGAAAACTGTAGCTGGGACCGAATTAACAAAATGTATAATCGTAACGTGCAAGTTGACATAGAAAACTCGCGCGCAATTCTAGAGATAACACCAAGCATACGGAGAGAGGCGGCCATAATATTATTAATGCGTAACTTGACAGACAAGTGAGAATCTACGTCGGCGACACAGTGTTGACGCCAAAGGAACTAATTTTTACAAGAACTGTTAACAATTGTGGGCGGAAAATATGCAGTGCTGAAGCCATTGCCTAAGACGCTTAACTGGAGCTGCCACCCTGTACTTTAAGTATGGTGCCTGGATCGCGTCTTCAACTGGTGTGTTTAGCGTCCTATCCCGCCCAGGCATCAAAAGTGGTCCCCAAGTGGCAACAAATGACGTCATAAAAGCCGGAGTGTCATGCTGTAGCCTGCCGCGATCCTGGCGGTTGGCCGTAGAAATGCTGGCGAAAAGCACGAGCAAACGCGAGTGTCGCTGTCGTCACGGCGTCCCAACTTCCAGCTGCTGTAGCTTCCGTGGACTGTCACAGTGGAGAGCGACTTGCGGCAGAACAGGCGTCTGCCATATACACCACAACTGTTGGGACGCCGCCAGGATCGCGACCAGCGACAGCATGACACTTGTATGACGTCATCAGGCGGAAATCGAGGGACTACTTTTTTGGGCGCGGTAAACAGACCAGTCGGAGACGCGTTAACCTGAAGCGGTTTTGTATTTGAGTAAAAATACTTAAAGAGTTTTCATTTGGCCTCCAGGCCAGATTATCGAGATTATATTTTTTTTCAATTTGGTTCAAGGAGGCTGCAAAAAATTGTTTTTAAAGTTCCGCTGGTCCCCTCCTTTCTGAAGCGTTGCGTCATTAAAGAAGTTTTGGGAATCTCCGCTCTCGCGCTTCTTCAGCGCCTTTCAAAGTTGTGCACGCGCACACTCGATATTTTCAAAAAGTTTAGAAAGAGACGTCAGGACTGGTGTCAGTGCGGGGTGATATACCTGGCAAGCTTGCCATTGCACGCGCTGCCCACACGAGCGACATGCACTTGGCAACCCAAAAATCTTTATAACGTACAAAAAAAAATTTTTTTTTTTTATATACGTTTTTGGGGAAAACGAGCACAATATTCAGATTCACGGTACCCCCTCGCTCTGGAGGATGGATAGTTTTACAGATACCCTAAAACTAGTTTTAGGGATACCCTAAAACTGTCCATCATCCAGCTCGTCTTTTTTTTTTTTTTTTTCAAGAACTTGTTTAGCTTTTATTCAAGTTCATTCGGTCACTTCCAGAATATGCCTCCACTGCATAAACCTTTTATAAAAATAAATCTTGATTGTCAAGTTCGAAGCATTACGAAACTGCAGCGGTAGATGTGTTCTGATACATGATGATACATTATCATCCGTAACAAACTGTTTCAATAACGCAAAAAAAAAATTAAGAAGGAAAAAAAACAACTCTCGATTAAACGTTTTTGAGCCTGTTTAATAACCGAAAAATAATAAAAACGAGGGGAAAAAAATCTGTTTTATGGCGCCGCGTCAGATCACTTGAAATTAGCACTCTGTCACGTCAGATGTTTTGTTCGTTCTGCGGTTGTTTATTGTTCGCCGTGACCTAGCGGTAGCCGGCACAGGAGCATCGGGGAGCAATGGCGACGAACAGCACAGTGGACAGTGTCCCCGTCATGATGACGACGGGATTTAAGGCAGTTACGAATTCGGGAAGTTCCTTTGACAGCCGCGGTGCCGCCGGCGAAGAATCATTGGGAAGCAACGAACAGCACAGCGGACAGTCTCCCCGTCGAGGTTTAAGGCGATTAGGGATCCGGAAGGCTTCTTCGGTAGCCGGTGCAGAATCATCGGGAGGAAGCAATGGCGGTGAGCAGCACAGCGGACGGTGTTCCGGTGGTGATTACGACGAAGTTTAGGGCGGTTACGAATCCAGAAAGTTTCATCCGTGGTGCCAATATGACAAAGGAAAAACTCCTTCGTGAATCTGCCCACGTGTGCGATGTAAAGGAGGTCCGTTTCGACGGACAAGTGGATGTCACGGCGCCGTACTCCGCAAAACGAAATTAAAAACGCCGCAAGAAAAAAAAAACTTTTTAGCTTTGCGTAATTAGATAAGAGAGCTTTCTTAGTTGGCGTTGAGTAGACTGCGCTAATAATGTACGTTTACGTCTGAATCAGCTTGACAATAACTGGGCGATTGTTTTCGAGCCGTTCCGCGATTCCCACTCTTCCTTTTCGCGACACCAGCAAAACGGACGCCACCAAGCGGGAAAACCCGGAACCAGCCGGACCAGGTCGCCCCGCGCCCCTCCGCGTCTCTGGTGGCTTTCGCGGACACGTGTTGTCGGCGCGGTGGCGAACGATGTAATTTGACGAAGGTCCGAAAATTTTTTAAGTTTGCCTGATTTTTCATTAGTCTGCTGAAGCCTCAGTAGATTGTTTCCTTCCATCACGTGTTTGAAAGCCCGTTTACTCCACAACACACGGTCTTGTGCTTTCGATTTCTTGGATGGGGAGGAATCACGGAAAAACGTTTTGGTTTCTTGTCTGTCTCGAATCACATTCAAAGTTACGACTACTTGGTAATTGATAAGTGGTCTCTTTATAAGGATGCAGAACAGTGGACTGGGGACGACAGGCGGGGTGTTTCACTGGAGGGAATACTAACGTTACAGTCAAGTAAAGGGAAGGTTCGATAGCTGCTTTTCTTGAGTTTGGCTGCGTTCGATTAGCTTCAAGTCTGAGCCACCCACGCCGGTCGGTGCGTTGGCTATTCATCTTGGCTGCTTTTCGCCGAGAAAGCCTCTGGACCACAACGAAGGAGTTGGACTGTTTTTGCAATTACTTGATTCCGGAAAGCCTGCTCGCTGCATACGATTAATGAGGGAAATTGTCTGCTTTAAAAAGGTGGGGGACGCGTCTCGCAAAGTTAGAAGCTGTCACGGCATTATGACCTATCTCGCCTCCAATATTTATATTATACCCCCTTCGAAGCCAGTTGCGATATACGTTTACATTGTTCAGGTTGACCGGCCACAAAAAATACTAATTTTCTCCGTCCAGTACTCAAAGTCAAGTTCACTGCAGAGAGGTTCTGCGTAAATCTCCGATGAAGGTTCTCTTCAGTTTGTCCGAATTCTTCTCCGTGCTACCGTCTACTACCATTTGGCTGAGTTTAAGTAGTATCTCTCTGTCTGTCAAATATACTTTTATTCAGCAGTTCACTTCATAGCTAGTAAATTAAGCCCATATTTAAACCCGAAGAATATACTAATATTGCATTAGTGGGGCCCATAGTAAGTAATATAATACATAACCCGTATATTCATCAAAATAACTTCTCGATTGCTACTAAGACATGAATTGAAATACGAGTATCAGCTGCTTAGTGGGGCGACAGCGGGTTAACACGCTCTTTGACTCAAGAAGCGCTTGCTTAATTTTCGTGATTTTCCCGCAGCCTGTGTTGTTGACCGAGCAGACGACTGGAGCAGTTTCTTAAACGCGGATACGCGCGAAAGCTCGATTTTGCGGACAGATAAGTCGCATGGTCGAGGCATGTGAGTTAGCTGAAGATTACTCTCGGTGGAACAATT